CAAGAAATGTAACCGGCAGTGCTTCCACTCACCTCGAATATGGAACAACGATGTCATATTGTTCAGTTGCTGCTTCTTCCACTCATTTGAAATTGCAGAACTTATCACAAGATCGTGATCTTCTCGTTGCTCTCCTCCAAGATTCCTCTTGCTTCTCAGGCAGTGAGGTCTACTTTTTTACGAAGTATTCTTTGAATAAAAAACGATTGTTTGACATGATGGGATAAGGGATAAAATCACAAAAGTCATGTATGATAATAATAATCCTTGCATTTGATATAGCGCCTCATCACGTCTTCGAGATGTCTCAAAGCGCTTCACAGAATATACTGTAAAGTGAATTGACTGTATATTTTGTGAGTGAAATGCAGCAGACAATTGCACGATTTGTGGTGGTGTGAGAAAAACAGTTCACAGCCAAAGTATTCCAGGCAAAAGGAATAGAGTTATGATAAAGGCTCAGTTTCAATTTTTTAGTTAGATAGTGTTAAAGATGTTGATTAGCATCAGGTTTTGATTGTGAATGGACTATCGCAGAGCAAGGCCCAGGTCCATTTTGGAAATATCAAATACCATCCTGCTTCAATATTACTAAACAGTGCATCAACGTTACAATACCCGAATCAGGGACTAAATAAATTGGGGTCAGAAAAAAGAAACATTTAAAAAGTAATGTTAACATACATTAAATGATCAAATTATGCCCTGTATCTGGTTGCTTATTTACTGTGCTAGAACGTTTTAATTATAGATAATACATGTTCTTATAGCAATAAAATCCTTTATTGAAACTTGTTTATGCAGTTTACAGTTTATTCAGAAATATTGTAGGGGCGTTACCAGTGAAAAAAGGCTTCTAAATTGTGTGCTATCTTTCCAATGGTTTGAACATTACAAACACTGCAACAATATGCAGTACATATAATCGTTTCCAGTAACAATGAAATTTAGTGCACGATTATTATACATAATTATTCCTGCCCATTGAGAAAGTAGTGCATGTAGGAATATGCAGCCTTATGCAGCCGGCGATGTAAGGTAATAAGGGATGATAAAGGTTGCACAAACTATGTACTGTTAGAATTATCAGTAACATCATCATCCAAAATCACAGGATTGTCTGTCTTCACAATGTAGTTGAGTAGAAAATGTACTTTGTAGTCCTGAAGTGGGGCCACAGATTTCTGTATTTCAAGATTATGTTCATGCCAATCTCTTCCCAGGCCGCTTCCATCCTAAGTGCTGGAACAAAGCGAGCTGCTGGTTTCTATTGGATGTAGATTTTACTACTGTACTTCCAATAATCCCACAGGTAGTTGCGTGATTTTTCTTGCTCACTTCCTGGCTGCTGTGGCACTGGAAATATCCTCAGTTTCAGCTCCTTTGCATGGCTGACAACTCTGTATAGTGAAGGGCTTTTGGCGGTAGATCTAGCACACCATCACTTCCTCCTACAGTGTTGTTCTGTGGCACAGCCTCTTCAAACTCAGCACACATCCACAAACTTTCCTTTAACAATTGAAATGTGGAAGAAACAAGGATTATTCTGCTGTCTAATCTTGACCCAATCTTAATTCTTTGTTGTTTCTATAGCAGGTGCTGATAGCTTCACAAATGAACTTGGTTACATTTTCCAGAGTCTGAGCTGCTGGATAGATTTTCATCGCAGGGGTCCATCTCGGCAGCGTAAATGTTTAGAGCACAGTATCTTGAACATTTTTAAAAAAATAACCTTCCCAGTCTTTTGCAGGGTCAAATATATACCTAGGCCCAAACCACTTCAAACAACATCACTAAATTGCTTTGATTATTATTAGTATTTCCCACGTATTATAAATGCACTAGGATTTGGTAGAACAACTCCACCTTAAACTATAGCTTTATTAAAACACTAGAAGATGTGTGTCTTGGTTTTTCTTAGCACCCTTTCTCTCTTCGGTCACCTTGTGTGGTAGACATCCCATTATCAATACCTTGCAACCCACACGGTAAAATAACCTCACCTTAGAAACGTTTAAAACACAATATTTGCAAAGTGGGTTTAATTGCAATATCAGATTGAGACATTCATATTTTGGACCTCAGTGACTCATGAGTCTTAAATTGATCACAATGCTATTCAGCTAACGTGGGCTACTGGTTCTGTTAGTAAGTGGCTCAAAACAGCATCCTTTTTGGGGCTTGGAATGTTCAGTTGGCACTGAAATATTTTTCTTTTGCTAAATGAATCAGGGAGAGCACTTTTTAATTCCTCCTCTAGACTTCCCTTCTCCTTTAGCTCTGTAATCTATATCAGTGCATGCCTGTTAAGTGTATAGTTGTAAAAATGTGGTACCCTGTGCAATAAAGCTCAATTTTTAAATAATCTCAAGACTTTCATTTTTATTTATTCTCCAAAAATAACATTCTTTCAGCCTACCCCAACCCTATATACTTCTTGCAGGTTTTGTCGGCTGAGTATCTGTTTTGGTTGAAAGTCTGAGTGGAGGGGAATCCTGCTTTCAGGTCACTGTGAATTCCACTGTACGTCCAGCTATTGAAGGAAAATGAACACCACTGCAGGATTCTCCTCTAATTTTCTATCCTCCAAGGGATAGATCTCTGCAGTAGTACATGCTTATCTCTACTCAAGAGCTGTGGAGGAGTGGGGAAAGGATCTGAATCAGCACATCTCCAAGATGGTACACACACTGAGATTTCTTTGATTAGGCCTTTCCCCACCGGCACACTTGTTTTCAGATGCACTGGCAGCTCTGTTACTTCACCCGAGTCGCAATTTTTAATGTTTATCAGCCATCACAGCTAAGCACGATTCTATTCTCATCTAACATTCAAACTCTTGCACTTCTTTACATTGTGGTGGGAATCAGAAAAGGGATCCTACCTTCCCTGAGGTTCACTGCAGACTATTACATTGCTACATAGCATTGATCAGATATTTCATTTTATTTGAGGATCGGGATTGTGAAATAAAGCGAGATAACAACATGTATTAATAAAACATTTAAAAAAAACATGAGGGACAACAGCTTTAATAACCAATATTGCATTGATTTATGTATAAGTCGGTTTGGTTTCAGTTATGTGTGTACCCAGGATACGCTTGGCTCATATTTATACATTTCTAGTTGAAATACACAATTTTCACTTGAAAAGATTAACTTTACCTTTAGGAATCGAATCAGGTGCTTATTCATTACAATGGGTCTGTTTAATAACTCCGTGACTAGTCTGTGTAAACGTTTTGACATTTAAAGCACTTTAAATTACCTTATCAATAGATAACACTTTTCTAAATAAACTACTTTTCAATCTGCAGCACAACTACATATTTTTCCCTTCAAGTCAATGCCCTCTATGAATATACATATTCCATATTGGATATACATTTTGGGAATGTCCTGCATAAACTATACTGTTTTTATTTAAAAATTTTATTCACAGAATACCATAAATTAAATTATCTGTTGTTCTACTATTCCATACATGTTATACACTGCAGAACACTTGAAGTGTATGGGAATCCATCAGTAAAGAAAGTCCAATAAAATTGAGAGACAAGATGGAGGAACACTGAACCCAAGCAGATTACCATCCAACAGTTGCACCTAAAAGTTTCTTTGTCCCGTAACAGGACGTTTGAATGTTAACAGCGATATTATCCTTCAAGTTTTTTTTGTGTTTATTGTCCTCATCTCTGATTGGGATTTCTTCACTTCGATATTCCTTGAATGGAAAGTATAGACATATTTTGTCTATGCTTCTACTGGAAATAGATCTCATCGGAAAAGTCTTAAGAATTTGAATTCATAATGCATCTACATTTTTAAACCTGCAAAAGAAATTCAGTTTACCAAAATTTACAACATAATTTTTTTTACAGTAATGAAAGAGAGGTTTGTTACAGAATTTTGCTAGATTGGAAAGATTGCAATCTACTAAATATGTACAGATATCTTTTAGATCAATAATTACATTAGATTATTGAAAGAGACCAATGGTGTTAACACAAGGGAGCAATTGTTCTGTCGTGAATACTTTCAACCGAAAGTACTTTAAGATTCCATAGAGTGCAAAATATATTCTTGTGTTTTCTTTCAACGTTAAAATTGAACCAACAAGGCCAACAAATATGGTATTGAAACTTCATGACAATGCTGCTCCTAGGAGTCAGAATATTTTGTTTAAACTTCAGTAAATTGTGCTCAGAAAAAAAAACGGAACTTCATTCTATTTCTTTAACTACCTGAATAGGGAGTGAAAAAAAATGAAAACTTCAAACAACATACTTGCTGTGTGATCTCGCAAACTGCTGCTTCTATTTTCTATAAAAGCCAGTTGTGATACAGTGTTCACAGTCCAGAGGTGTATGGCTATTCTCAAATTCAACATGTAGTCATATAATGCTTGCATTTGATATAGCGCCTTATTACGTCTTTGAGACGTCTCAAAGCACTTCACAAATATAGTGTAAAGTGAATTGACTGTATATTTTGAGGGCGAAATGTAGCATCCATCCAAACAAAGTAAGTAGCACCAGACGCTGAGTCAGCTGCAACACGTATAGAGTGGGGGATTTTTTTTAGGAACATGGGAAAATATAAACAGGAAGAAGCCTTTCGGCCCCTTATGCCTGTTCCACCAGCTGATTAAATCTTGGCAAATTTTTATTCCCAATGCCCTGCCTTTTCCACATACCTCTATATAAAGTTCAACATACATTTGGAGTCCTGTAGCTCAGTGGTTAGAGCACTCGCTTTGCAAGCGAGAGACCCGAGTTCAATTCCAAACAGGGCGAAACCTTGGGCAAGTTTCCTTACTCCACACAGAGCCTAATAATAATCCCTCCAAAAAACAAAACAATAATAAATTGGTAGTTTTCATCCATGACTGTTTGTGGGACATTGCTGTGCACAATTGGCTGCCGCGTTCGCCCACAAATATACAGTCAATTCACTTTACAGTGTGTTCTGTGAAGTGCTTTGGGACGTCCTCCCGACGTGAAAAGCGCTATATCAAATGCAAGGATTATTATTATTATTATTTCACAGTGAGCGAAACATGTCCAATTCAAGTGTGCATCTACAGTTGTTGCTCTGAAAGAAATACATTCTTAAAACTTGATCAGCACAGTTACTGTATTTGTTTCAGAGTTCAGCGATTGTACCAGAATCCCAAAGTGATTTTGTGCACTTGTTTGGGTATTAGTAAGAATGCTGATTGTTTGACAAGTAACCATTGATTGATCGATTCCTTCCCTTTCCTTCCTTTCCTTCCCTTTCCTTCCTTTCCTTCCTTACCTTTTCTTCCTTCCATCCCTTCCTTCCTTCAATATCTCTTATACCTCTTCACAGTTAGATCTGCTGTGGTTTCCAAGAAATGCAAAGTTGGGAGGGCTGCTACTGTAATAGGACAGAGCCAGTCATACAGCACTCAGTTATGTACTATGCCAACCAGGCTGCCTACTGAACCAAGTATAACACAAATCTTTCCAACTAACAAAACACTATGCCTTTCACAAGACACTTAAGTCATTACGTTACATGCCTTGACGTTCATTGACTCATTGAATGACCGGTTGCATACACTGTTTATCCATCAACTGCCTCATTCTGCAAACAGTAGATCGCTTTTTCGTTCATCTTTATTTTGATCATATCTACTCTAAGGACTGTGATCTTATGGATATAGAAAAATAGTACTGCAGCAATTATAGGTCTGATCTGTCTTAAAACAAGGGAAATATGGAGCTCTGAAAATTGTGCAATCTTTCTGTCCTTTTCAAAAGTTATTTAAGAAGAGTGATGCAGTATCAATCGGTGGAGAACAGATCGCCTGCAGAGGGCAATGGTGCTAGTCCCCCCGTCACATTTGGAAGCTGGGAAAGATCAGGCAAGCTTTGGATGTGGGACTTCAGCTCTTTTCGCACTTGTGTGACCTTGGCTAGTTTCCGCTTGTACTCCTGTGGGGAACAGAAACGTTGCACACAGTGATTTACTATGCCCCAAATATCTTTTTTTAATGTAACATTTTATACTCTTCATAACCAGCTTCATCAACTTTCAGATCTGTCTCAACAATGTGCCTCAGCTTCAGCCTCAAAGCAAAGCTCTTTCTTCCTGAATCAGCGTGACTCTTCATTTAACACAACAGTTGTCCTTGAAGCTCCACTGGGAAAACCTGCCCTATTTTGTGCTAAAGAACATTAAATTATGAATTGATTTATGCTACGGGCTTATCGAATAGCCTAAATTCATTTGATTTATGATTTTTACAGCCATCAGACAGTTGAGATTGTCATCCCTTTAGTTGGAATAAACTTGAAATTTGGGTCTCAGAAATGGAAGGGAGCAGACTAGTCCTTCCTTACACATAGTCCCTAAAACTTGTACTTTTCCTATCAACTTTTAAACAATGAGTTTGAAAGATAGCAAACTGAGCTTTGAAAGAGACACACCTGTGAGAAAGAGTGTCTGTAAACAAACAAAGGCAAGTTTTTTCTCCAAATACAAAAAGATTGTCAAAGACTTTTTTTCATGGAGACAGTGGCCCTTTAAACCATGCAACAGGATCACAACAGTGCCAGTCAAAAACAAATCTATAATTACATCAAAATAGAAAAGTACAACATGGAATAATATCACGAGGCTGACTGGCAGATACAAGTCAGTATACACTGTATACTGTACAAGACTAAACTGTATTACAAATATACCAGGAACAGATGAAAAGCTGCCAGAATGAACAGACAACGAACATCATCAAAAATTAAAGAGCAGATCTCACCATGAATTTGTTTCAAACATTAAAATATTTTTTGCATTAATGTTTACTTTGGTAATTTAAAAAGAATGTTTTCCTCTGGTTTAAATGATTAGAGCTTATAGTTATGAGGGACTGGATCAATAACCAATGATGAACAACATAAGCGAGCCAACTTCAAATTCATGGAGAAATAAAAAAAATTACATTTGTATAGCGTCTTTCACGTCGGGAGGACGTCCGAAGGTGCTGGACAATTAATGTTTCGGACCCGAGCTGGGAGTTGGGATCAGGGAGGGTGAAAGGCAGGAGGTGAAGGAGGGTGACCAAAGACATGGTCGAAGAGGAGGTTCTTGAGACCGGTCTTGAAAGAGGCAATTAAGGGGGCGAGGCAGAAGGACTGTGGGATGGAATTCCAGAGGGTGAGGGCAGAGTGGCAGAAGGTCCACCTGCCAATGGTGGGGCAGGAGAGGTGGAGTACATGAGGCTGGTCGGTGCCTGCTGAGCAGAGGGGGCGGGCAGGTTGGTAGGGGGTTAGCAGGTCGCAGAGGTAGGGGGAGCAAGGCCATGGCGGGCTTTGAAAGTGAGGACCAAGTTACCTTTATGTAAGGGTGGCCTCTGAATAATGGTTTGTTGACTGGGTCTGAATTTTTTATTAAAAATTCTGCAGGCCGGCATGTAGATTCCTGCTAGACTCTTAGCGCATTTACCAACACTGCCTCACCAGTGAGGTGATAAGTTGTGGGCTGCTCAGTACAGCATTCGTAAATGTGCTATGAGTCCAGTGGGAGTCTACATTCAGGCCTGCGAAAATTGGTAAGGCATTACCAGTAAGTACACTTAAATTCATTTAGAACTGGCCCCTGAAAAGGGTGTCTGCACATTTACAGGAAAAAAGGCTTAAAGAGTGCCCACTGGTTGCACTAGACAGGTCGTTGCTGAATAGAGATGGTTTATTATGGAAAATTGATCAGGACTGTTCCAGGGTGTCTGTTGGCAGCTGGTGGTTGCTGAACAGAGGTGGTTGCTTTAACAGGTTTCATTGTAATTCTGTTCCTTGTTATCTGCTGTTTAAGCTAAAATATTCTTATACACAAAAATAAGTCAAAAGAGAAAAACAAGAGGACGGCAATTATATTTTGGAGTCCTGTAAAGCTCACTGGTTAGAGCAACTCGTCTTGCAAGCGCTGGGCAAGTTTTCTTACTCCTCACGCCTCTGTTTACCTAGCAGTAAGTAGGAACCCAGTTGTTAGTCATTTGGCGGATCACTTTTCTGGGGGTAATAATTCCTTAAAATTTTTTTAAAAAATAACAAATTGGTCACTTCAATACATGACTGTTTGTCGGACACTACTGTGTGCAATTGGCTGCCGTGTTTCGCCCACAAAATATACAGTCAATTCACTTTACAGTATATTCTGCAAAGCAGTTTAAGAAGTCTCTAAGACGTGGTAGGTGCTATAACAAATGCAAGGATTATTATTATATTATCTTCAAATTATTGTTTTTAAAAAGGGTACCAATGGTGAGACTCTATCTTTAATAGTCTTCTACAGTACTATGAGGTTAACAGTTAAACCTAGTCATTGCACTTCATATATATTTTATACATAATATATGAACTGTATATACAAAATCAATCAGATAACAGACAATTTTAAACTTGCCAGGTTAATACTGTATGAAACCATGGATTTACATATGGGCAACTTGGGTCAAATTTGATTGCCAAACATTTCAATACTTATAAACATTTAACAGGCTTAACTTAATGTCACACTTTGCTTGCTCATTCTGTTTACAGTACACAACCACAATCAAAAGGATAATCCTTGCATTTGATATAGCGCTTTTCACACCTTCGAGACATCTCAAAGCGCTTCACAAACTATACTGTAAATTGAATTGAATGCATGACTGTACCTGGCATCTTGTTCAACCCTCAACTGTCCTTTCTCTCCCATATCCATGCCATGAACTGATCTGCCTTCCCCCACCTCCGCAACATTGCCCGACTCCGCCACTGCCTCACCCCTCAGGCCGCCGATTCCCTCATACACGCATTTGTCACCTCAAGGCTTGACTACGGAAACTCCCTCCTTTTCGGTCTCCCCAACTCGTCTCTACAAGCTGCAGATCATCCAGAACTCTGCAGCTTGTATCTTCTCCTGCACCATGACCCATCACCCCCTACCCTTGCCCGGCTCCATTGGCTTCCCATCCCTCAGAGGAAAGAATTCAAAATCCTTGTCCTCACTTTCAAGCCCCTCCGTGGCCTTGCCCCCTCCTACACCTCTGACCTGTCCACTCCCTCCGTTCAGCAGGCTCTGGCCTGCTAGAGATCTCCCAACCGACCCTCTCTACCATCGGTGGCTTGGCTTTCAGCCTCTCTACCCCTACTCTTTGGAACTCCATCTCACAATCTCTTTGCCTTGCTCCCTCTTTTGCCTCCTTCAAGGCACGACTCAAGATCCTCCTTTTTGACCATGCCTTCAGCCACCCTCATGCCCCTCCGCCCACCCTCATCCCAACCCTGCCCCCATGCTCGGTTCCTGATACCTGACTGTTCAGCACCTTGGGACGTCCTCTCGGCATGAAATGCACTTTACAAATGTAATTTTATTGTTGTATATTTGTGGGCGAAACGAGGCAGCCAATTGCACAGCAGTGTCACACAAACAGTCATGGATTGAATGACCAAATTATATATCATACATTCCTAAAATTAGCTTCTATTGCTGGACTGAGCACCACCGTTTTCAAAAAACTCATTAGTAAAAGCCATCTCATAACAACATTTCCCTATATTCAAAGTCATTAGCCATCTTTCACCTTTTGCTCATCTCTGTGCTCCCTCTCAGTGTTTTGTTTGACCCTCAACTCTCTAAGCTTTTCATCTTAAAGGGCAATTAATCCAGGTCCCAACAACTCTCTTTTAAGCCTTTCATCTAGGTTCTGACCAAGATTGCTTTTTTCATTTCCACAAAGTTACCCAGTTCATCCATAACAGCAATAAATTGCATTTATATAGTGCTCTTCACGTAAGTAGGATGTCTCAAGGACAGTAAAGGGCTTGCACCAGAGCTGGGAGTTTGTGTCAAGAGAGGTGGGGGCCAAGAGGGATGGGAGGTTGGTCAAAGAGGAAGGTCTTCAGTTGGGTCTTAGTAATAATAATCATGGCATTTGTAATAATAATTGTAATAATATCACGTCTTTGATACATCTCAAAGAGCTTTACAGGATATTCTGTAAATTGGATTGTGTATTTTGTGGGTGAAACGTGGCAGCCAATTGCACAGGTCTTGAAAGAGTCATGGGAGAGGGCGAGGTGCAAGGGCTCTGCGATAGGAGTTCCACAGGTAGGGCAGAAAGGCTGAAGCCCGACTGGCGATAGTGGAACGGGCAGGGCAAGGGATATGGAGCAGGCCAGTACCCACAGTGCGGAGGGAGCGGGCATTTTCTGACTGCTGTTCTGAGAATGCCTGTCAGATATCAAGTTCTGGAATTGCTTTGAGACATTTCGACAGTGTGTTAAGGCGCTACATCAAATGCAAGGATTATTTTTTTTATTATTATTAATGCCCTTTACCATGGCCTTGCAGCTCTACCTTTCACAAGCTCCAAATCATCCAAAATCTTGTAGCCCACATTGTCTTCCATCCTAGGCTCTGGGAGCCCATCACCCCCATCCTTTTTGGCTCCCCTGGCTTCTATTCCCTCAATGAACTTTAAAATTATTGTGCTTTCCTTCAAATGTCTATTTGGCCTGGCTCTACCCTACCTCTACACTCCCACTTCCTCACCCAGCCCCTCCAGTCTACCAACTCTGTCTTGCTTTATGACCCCTATCCATAACCTAGATAAGATTTCAGACACGTTATCTCACATTCTCTGGACATCTCGTTTCACTTTCTCTCTCTCCGCTTTTTACACCTTCAAAGCCCTCCATGGTCTTGCTCTCCCCACCTCTCCAACCTCTTAACCCATATCAGCTTGTCCGTTCCCTCTGCTCTGCGCTCACTGGCCTGCTTCAGATCTCCCACACTTCCCACCTCACCATTGGTGGTCAGACATTCAATATCTCTGCCCCCACACCCCGGAACTCTATTCTGCATTCCTCCAGCTCACCCCTTCTCTTGCCTCCTTCAACTTCCATCTAAAGGCCTTCCTCTTCAACCATTCCTTCCGCCACCCTCCCCT